TTGTGATTGAATTCTATCTGCTGCCATGATAATAGAAATATAGGTATCCACAGGGCTGTGGGGAGCTAGACTACATGTTCTTTTCTAATTTGCACAAAGTGCAAGTTATTTGGTATTATTATTATTATTATTAAACAGTAGCACATTGGGTATGACAGAAGACTAGTAGAAACATTATGTCCTGTGTGTCACTGAGGAAATAGAAAGCAGAAGAAGGATTTGCCACACAGAGGATGGGGACTTGGTTTAAGATCCTAGTCACCAAAAAATTAGAAATTTGGCTGTAGAACTGCTGAGGTGGCTAAGAAAAGAAGGCAGATCTGAGAAAGCTATGATACAATTTAAAGACCCTCCAGCTGGAACCCACTTTGAGTGGATGAGATGTCCAAGGTCAGCATGGACTCCTCAGGAACCTTGCCAAATTGTTGAGCTGCTAGTCCACTGCTCTTTGGGTTCCCTCTCCTTGGACCAGGATTAATCTCAGAGCTTGGGGTGGCTGAACCTGCAACTAGGCATTTGGGAACACCTGCACCAGATCAGGAAGAAATGGGACAGAGAATCCAGGCAGGAGGTGTTAGCATCTGAAAAAAAATGCCAACACTGTTTCTTCCATGGTGTTGTATGATACTGGTTGAGATAACCACAGGGTTGGTGTATATGGTGAGTGGAACAATATTTCCATAATTGTTACTGAACATGTTTTTTTTTGTTTTTTGTTTTTAAAGCTGATTAGAAAAACAAGTTCCCTGTGGTTTGAGAAAGCATTAGGAAAGCCTGAAAATAAAAAATCTGGCCATTTTTCAAGTGTCGCTCCATAATGTTTGTTTTTATAAACAATGCTAGCATTGTCTAGGAGGAACAGATGATTCAAAACAGGATTGGGAGTAATAGTTTTATTTCAGCAGAACTTGTATTATAAACACTATTTTCTTTCCATTTTACCTGTTGACATTGAATGGATACTGTTTAAGGAGATGGTGGAACTGACAAATTAGAGAAATATGCTGTAATGTGTAGTCTGGTATCAAAAGGATGGGCCTATGCTTATTTGTGGAAACTTAACAACCAGGAAAGCTGGTATGGTACAAGGGACTCAGATCTGGTAGATATGGATTGGAGACCTGGTTCTGCTGCTTGTCAGCTTATTATCCTACTCAGATCTTCAGTTTCCTTATCTCTAAAATAGGAATCAGAAGTTTACTACTTCTCTCAGAAGGTGATTATTGGGATGATATGAGACAATATGCCTGAAGCATTTATTGTATGCTTTGGCACATGGTAACCATTCATATGCCTCAGTCATTCAAATCAGCCATTATTCATTGAGCATTTATGGTTAAAAAAAGTTAATACAAAGCAAGGTCTGTAACTATATTCAATATCTTTCTACTTAGCATCTATGTGTGACAAGTACTGTTAGAAGCACTGGGAAATAAAGTGATAGAGAAGACAAACATTGCCAACTCTCATGGTACTTGAAGTATTGTTGGATTACCTATGGTAACATGGTTTAGGTCTCTGTCTTTCTTTTTTTTTTTTAGGTCTCTGTCTTTCAGCAAATACATTAATTTTTTCCCTTTCATAGTTTTGTAATATATTCAAGAGCACTGATTCTCACATTTTTATTTGCATAAGAATCAAACTGAAAGATGCTTGAGGGGCCTCAGAATGTGCTTTTTTTTTTCTTTTTACTTTTAGACCTGATCTGTCTATGTAGTTTAGCCTGGTCTTGTGTAGCCCAGGCTGGCCTCCAATTTAGAGCAATCTTCCTGCCTCAGCCTCCCAAGTGCTGGGATTACAGACGTGTGCCACTCACATGTGGCTAGTAACGTTCATGTTGATAACCTTCTTCCTACCCTGCTGTTGCTAACCTTTGAACATTGCCCTAGGGTATATTCCCCTTCAATGTTACCTGAGTTTACTCTTCCAAAACTGTGGGCACCAGGATTACCGTAGGAAGTCTTACATTAGAATCCTTTGGCATGGGATTTAGCTCAGTGGTGCCGCTGCCTGCCTCGCAAGTGTAAAGTCCCTAGTTCAATCCCTGGTACCAAAAAAGAAGAAGAAGAAGAATTCTTTGGGGTACCCTTTCATGTCTTTTATCTTAAGATAACAGGATGACACCAGGAATAGAACTCTAAAAAAATTATCAGACTGTAAGTCTATTTTTGTCTCTTATGAACTGTGTGATCTGAGACAGCAACAGAAACCTTCAGTTTCCTCATTCATCAAAAGAATAACACCTGCACACACATTTGACATGCTTATTGTGAGCCTTATGTGAAATGCTGGACACACAAATTTATTGTGAACTTTAAAGCTCCACACAAATAAAATATATTTTTATTATTAAAGAGGAAAAAATCCTGTTGCCATGATTGAGTTTAATTTAGCATACATAGGTTATTCATAACCTGGTATTCATACACTGATTCATACACTGATATTCATACATATCAGAGTTTGAGAAGAAATGAACATTTGACTTCTGCCAGAGGGTTCTGCTCTCCTTCATTGTCTTACACGTACACTTTAGAACAATAAATGCTTTTTGATAAACTTTGTAAAGAATGTTGTAGAGTCCCTGGTTGGAAGAGCATCTGTAGCTAAAAAGCTGACATCTGTCATGATCAATGTCAGTATCTTAAAACTTGTTTGTTTTGGTAATTAAAGCTGTATTTTTAAAAGCATGTAGCCTATGTTAAATCAAACTGTTTTTTCTTTGAATGCTTTTGCTCAACGCAAAGTGGTCATTTCATTTATAGAATCATATTTTGAGAATTCATTTATTTGTGGAAGGCTTTTTCTGTGAGCTTACAGAGGAACCAAATATGTTTATCAAAGGATATCCTGGCTGGCCCTGGTCTACTTTGCAACATGAATATCAAAGCTTGGATATAACCACGAAATGCTAGAGAGTGGTGAAGCTTCCGAAATTTTTTTTAGTTGTTGTATGCAGTCATTTTACTTTTTGAAGGAAAAAAGTATGTTCTTTCATACTGTTTTTGCTTTCTTTACATATTAGTTAATAAAAAATAACAAAATCTGCACCCATAACTCTGTGCCCTATAAAATCATAAATTGCCCAAGTAGTATGTTTTAGGGGCAGATAAGCAAATTGAAGTACAAATAACTGCCTTCTTTCTCTAGGACTTTACACACTGTCTTAGACATATATTTTACTCTTTTGCATAGTCTTATCTTAGATGTAGATATATTTTTTGAAAATTTGCTGATAATGGTAACTTGCACCCTTGTTTGCTATTTGCATAAATTACATTATTCTTAGTAGAAAATTAAATGTTTAATTTTGAATGTTTAAGCAAGTCTTTGGTGATTGTTTTGGCCTGTGCTAAATTGGCTTCCATGACTGGATAATAACCCAGTGAGGTAGAGGGTGTGCTCTCAGTTATAAACATGTGAGGGTACTCAGGTTTGAAAAAACCAAATCAATTGACCTAAGCACCCTCGCCCCCAAGCCTCATGTGGATTTGGGCTCTGAATCATGTTTTCTGATTTCCAACCAGTGCTGACTCTTCATGGGAATTATATACACTAAAGTAGAAGTATGTGCAAACTAAGGTTTTCTTATTTAACTTGCTTATTTATTTGTTTTCTCCTAACATAGCCTTCATTTTTGACTAATTTATTTTAGTGGCATCTAGTAGTGATGACTACATAGAGTAATTGTTGACAGTAAGAGAGAAGCAACACCCAGTCTCAACTAGAAAATCACTGCAGTTTAGGATTGCTTAACACATAGCTCCATGCCCTGGTTTGGTGCAGTCTGAACTCTGAGAAGCACAGCACAATTGTGATATTTGTTAAGATGACCCTATATTATCAAGAAAAGCTGGGCCAGGGATTTAGCTCCGTGGTTCCGTTGCCTGCTTCGCAAGCTCAAGGACCCAAGTTCGATCCCTGGTACCAAAAAAAAAAAAAAGAAATGGACAACAGCAGTGCTTGGAGTGGTGACACATGGATGGCAAGGGTGTGGTTTTAAGTGTTCTGTTTGAATTTATTTACCATTAAAAGGGAGGCGACATTACATTATTTGAAAATATATCCAGCCAGACTTGTACTTCGTCAGCTGAAGTGCCTTGATTAAAGTTAAGAGACATGGATAGGAGTGAGTGGAGTGATACATGCAGTTGTTTAGATGAACCAGAAACTTGATAAGCAAGGCAGGGAATAGTATCACTGTATAAAGTCACATGCACAAAAATAGAAAATCTACTACAGGAGCTGTTTTTGAAACAAAATGGGGAGACTAAATGCACATTTTAGAGGTTTTAAAAAAATATATCCTATAAAGATTTTTTTTTTACATTTAATTCTAGAGAGGATTGTATATCCTGCCAGATTTTTGTCTGTCTGCAAATGTATAATGAACAATATCATCAATTTAGTATCAAAATAAGCAAGTAATTTGTTGAATATACCTGTATCAAAAGATCTGATAAGTACATCTTGAAATATATAGAAATTGAGTATGTAGGAAATATTTTTTAGTAGTATTTTGGTTAGTTTCTCAAAATCAGGACTCTAAAATTACATATATAACATTTGAAAGTCAGGCACTAAAGAAATGTTTATTCACATCTGAAGGTATGTACTCTCTATTGAGAGCAAGAAAATGAATATTCGTCATTGTTTCTGAAAAAAAAGTTTTAGATATAGAGTAGATGTGTAAAATTGTTCTGAAGGAAATTTTTTCTTTTTTATCTGACATGGGAAAGTAGTAAAGAAAGCCCCTAGCTTTGAGACCACAGAATAACTTATTGTTCTAAATGTACATCATGTTGTAGTAAGAGGAGAGACAGAAAAAAAATATTCTCTTTCTGTGCATTTAATATTTTCAAAGTTACAAGTCTGTCATTTTTCTTCCATTCTCTTCTATATGTTTATTTGCTGTAATTTATATGTATTTGATTCATTTTAAAAATCTATCTGTATGATAATCTTCCCCTTTGGTTTGAACTTCCCTCCTTGTGTTTCAGGTGGGCCAGCCATGAGAGGGTACCTTCTGGCCATATTCCTGAGTGCTGTCTTCCTCTATTATGTGTTACACTGTATATTATGGGGAACAAATGTTTATTGGTAAGTTTCATTTTTGCTACTTAAACATAATTCCCAAATTAGTCGTTCCATATACACGAATGACATTGGAAGGACATATGTAAAGAAAAGAAAACATTGAAACATTATAACATTTGAAATCTGTTCTAGTTTTCTGTTATAAATTGGAGTCCTCACATTCCAGTATCCTATAGATTGTATCGCTAACAATTTCTTTTTTTATTTTGGCAGTTCTGGGGATTGAACCCATAGCTTCATGCATGCTAGGCAAGTGATCTACTGGGCTACATGCCCAGCCCTTTTATTTTATTTTGATACAGGGTCTTGTTAAGTTGCCCAGGCTGGCCTCAAACTTAGTATCCTCCTGCCTCAGTCTCCTGAGTAGCTAGGATTACAAGCATGCATCACAGGCATGAGCCACAGGCACACCCAGCTATATCTCTTAACAATTTAAAAACTGAAAAGTAACCACTTGTTTTTATGGACTATTCAGTGAAGTAGTAGTGCTGAGCATCTTTGGAACATAACAGTCTCTAATTATATACAGTAAGTCCCCAACTTGCCAACCTTCAAGTTGTGAACTTTGACAGATATGAATGGACCTTGCATTATGAACATTTGTAGATCTGAACAAATCATGAAAGTAGCTCATGTGTCTGCTGGATGTTATCACAGTTGTGCTGCTGTGTGTTTACTATACAGTGTGATGTGTATAGTAGTTCAGTACTGAGTCAGAGCCCAGGATGTCCAGAAGCAAGAGGAAAAGCAGTGGTGATTCAGAGAGGACTGCTAGGAAGCACAAAGCAGCATACATTGTATATTGTGTCAGAGGTGTGTAAGACTCACTTTTTTGGACTTAAAAACATTCTCCTGGAATGGTACTTGGTTGTAAGTCAGGGACTTACTGTAATAGTTTGTTAATGAGTTAATAGAGTAATTCTTTGACTCAGGGGCATTTGACTTTTAGAGCCTAAAGTGCATGGATAAGAGAATGTTGGTAAAATACACATACTATAAGTTAGTTTCCTTCGTTTAAAAATATTTGGTAATTGATGTATGCCTTTTAAAAAATAGCTTTGACTTAAAATATCACTTAGAAAGCTTGGAAGAGGCACAGATAATTTTACTGCAGAGAAATCCTCAATAAATTTTTTTTTTTTAACCCTCATCCTCATTTTCAGTCCTTTGGCTGGAAATAGCTTTGATGAGCTTTAAATCCTAAATTGATGGCAGTACAAAATCAAATCAAAATAAATCACATGACAACTTCCTGTCTTAGACAAAAGGTCAGTGTTTTGGGTCAGTGTTTCAATAGCAGATCTTGGATTATTTTTTTGGCTTATACATACTAGATAAAAAAATTGATGCTTCTGTATTTAATCTTATCATTAAAAAATTGTAATGCTTTTCATGGAAGACAGCTAGGCAAATTGAGACCAGGAAAAAAAACCAATAGCAAGTGGATGACTGGGTTAGATTCTAAAGTTTGAGGATTTGGACCTCCTAAATATTGTGCTAGAGAACTCTGAAGTCTGATTATACATTCAGTGAGTACTACACCACAGGGACCTGTTTGTCCATCTGTGCCATATCCTGTCTTTTCCACAGTTGGCAATGGAAGACAGAAATGAAAGCGCAAAGCTTACTAGATTGCTGCTTTCCTGTAGATCCTATTGATTGTCACAGGGAGAATGATAAAAAGAAAATAATATAGTGGGTCTGAATGTAACAGTCATTTGCCATCAGAATTTGAGGAATGCCCAAACTGACCAAACACATTATTCCATTCACAGAGGTAGCCTAGGGAATGACCTCAAATAAGTGTTTGCACCATGAACTTGATTCCTTAAAACTGTTTATGACAGATAATTATCTTTGCTTTAAAAAAATTACCCAGTTTGTCTTCTCAGTATCCTAAAACAATCTGTCTTTTATGTTTTAATAACCTTAAAAATCAAATAATACGTATACCTCATTTTGTCCTCTAAATATAATTCAGTGTTTGTGGTCTGATGTGCAGGTTCAGCATATTTGTATGTCTTCCTTAAACATAAACCAAGGGGTCCTTGCCATTTGTGGCATTCGTATGAGATGTATTCCTGGATAAGAACTTTACAAGCCTCACAGTTTGGAAAACTAGTAGTTCTAACTATGGAAATTTTTGTATTTATAGTATTGAAAAATTTGTCCATAAAAGGTTTATTTTTTTTCCTTCAATTTGAACCCTGATGATTATAGAAGTGATATTGTTTAGGTTTTTAAAATACTAATATTTACATAATTATCATCAAAACTTCTCATATTAAGCTCTTATTCTCTTTTCTAAGTCTGGATCTTGCCTTCCCCACCTCCTTCATTTATTTTTGTTGTTGTCCTCTGCGATGTTTCACAATACCCTTTTAAATTGTGGAGACAAATAATCCATTCAGGAGTCACACAAGGCCTTAACCTATGCCACAAATAGAGGAGAGTTAGATAAGACTCAAAATGGCGTGATCTGTGGAGCTCCCAAGATCACAAGGCATAGGTCTGTTGAATCTGCTCAGGTCAGGTGTTTCTGTGGTGTTTGTAAGTGTCCCCAGGCATGCCATGAAGGATGCCAACTATTTGCACTTAGGGTATGATTGGTTTCTTGGGGTTTCAAGGGCTTTTTAAAATGGAGCTTGATTTTTGACTTCCACAGTGCAGTAACCCTATCCTTCTCTGAGAGTCCTTTGAATCATTTCTGGTGGAAGAGACACCCTGGCTTTTTCCACTCTCCTTCCCTTATACTCACAAAATGTCAAATGTGTAGAACTTGGAGAAGGTCCTGTGAAATCTCAGGGCTACAAGGAGGAGTTTTATTCTCTGCCTGAGAAGCCCATTAGTGGCAGCATGGAGTAGGTTCCCAAGGCATTTGCTTCCATTTGGGCAGGCTTCCCGGTTCTGGTTTCTGACTAACACTGTTTTTGTCTCCTAGGGTAGCACCTGTGGAAATGAAGCGGAGAAATAAGATCCAGCCTTGTTTATCAAAGCCAGCCTTTGCCCCTCTCCTGAGGTAAAAATACATCCTTCAGACTATAGCATGCAAAATGTCCTGATCATCTTCCTCATTTGTTTGTCTTTTTCATACAAATCTTAGCAGTGTAAAACAAATACCTCATATTTAGAAAAGAGCTTGAATGTCTTGTCTCTTTTTATGCTCTTAATCAGTGCTCTGCATATATTTTAAGAAAAGGAATTGGAGAACTCAGTCAAACCATTATTCTTTTCACACAGGTGAGATTAAACGGGTCTATTTGTATCGATCATAAAAGAGCTAGTCTTTAGAGTTTTATCTTTCTCCTGTTTCTGTGCTATTTTTCACCCTTATGGTTCTGTGGTTCCTTTTTCCTTGGGTCTAGTTTAAACCTTATGATTAGGAATTTTCTGATTTTTACCGACTTTTGGTAAATACATAGATTCCAAATGATTAATCTATGTACACTATATAATGACTGTTCATTGTGGTTGTCAGGACTTGTAAATGGTTTACTTTTCTATCCATAAATATTCTTTTCCTGGGCCGGGGATTTAGGTCAGTGGTTCCGGCGCCAGCCTCTCAAGCGCAAGGTCCCGAGTTCGAACCCCGGTACCAAAAAAAAAAAAAAAAGCTATTCTAGAATCCAGGTACTCTATTGCTTTAGTGGAAAAGATATTTTTCTTTCTGAGAAACCCCCCCAAAATTAAATTATTTAAAAGAGTGATTAGCAAGTATGTAAGTCTGCAGTTTAAGGGACAAGTAGATTTGTATTTGCCATGTGAACAGTATTCTTTGCAGACAGTATCCTGGAGTGTGCCTCTTTCTCAGAAATAAAGGAAACCTAGGAGCAATTAAGAAGCTGTGCTCAAAAACCTAGAATGGCTTTCCTTAGAATTAGGTTTACCTCCTGGACATTGCAGCTTTGTTATCTAAGGGTTAGTGACAGCAGACAAGTTACTTTCCTCTCATAGCTTCATACCTTTTTAGAAATAGCTTTGACTTAAAATACCACTTAAAAAACTTAGAAGAGGCACAGATAATTGTACTGCAGAGAAATCTTCTATAAAAATTTTTTTTAACCCTCTTTCTCATTTTCTGTCCTTTGACTAGAAATGGCTTTCCTCTACATAGATTAGTTCACCTCACTTACCTTATTAGACATTTGTAGGAATAACAATTCCAGAATATGATATAATATGTTATAATAAGCTAACCTGTAATATATACAATGTAATGTAATTGTTACAGATAAAGTTAACACTTTTTGAGCCCTTGCTATGTCTGAGACATGGTGCCTTGTTTATCACATTATTTTATTCAGAAATAAAATGTCAGTCACCAAGGACAAGATCTGAATGGAGAGACACTGATCATTAGTTATCATCATTATCAGTCTCTCTAACTCCAAAGAACAACAGTCCTTTATTGGTACAGTGATCTCTGCTCTGATTTTTCCCAGAAAGTCTTCTCTCAAGCTTGAATCAGGTAACCTGATACTTTCTCTTCCCAAAGCAGATCCTGAACTTAAGGGACCAACATTGATAGAGAAATGACCTTTGCAGGTTGGCTGAGCCCTGTAGCTGCTGTCACTAGCACAACTGAGATCTTGGACTTGCAGCCAATTTGGGGGAGGACCACATTTCCTTCACTTGAATGCAGTATCGGTTCATAATTCAGCTCTGCAAATATTAAGCTCCTATTATTTGCCCAAGTTTAATGGCTCATGGGCAACTAAGCCAGAATAAAACTGAAGCTATTTCACTCCTACTCTACTGCTGTTTATTTCAATTTTGTCCTGTCTGAAGGCCCAGAACCAATCTGATATCCACTTGTAGGCTTCACACAAAGCACAGAACTGATGTATCAGGAAAGATGGGATGTGGGAGCTGGGGTAAGGATGAGCTAGGTCTGTCCTGCAGCATGTGACCAGAGTCTAGTCTTCTAGTGGGTGAAAATGGCATTTTTAACATGGGCTTTAGAACCCTTCTCTTTACTCAGATTCTACTTCATAAAAATTGATTTGGAGTTGAAATTCATTCAGTTATTTGCTACACATGGTACTTTGTAGCAAGCACTAGAAATGAGGCAAAACTCCCCAAAAGCAGGGTTTTTCCTAGGTTCATCAAATTTCTTAATACTTAATTTAATGGCATTAGGAAAAGGCTGTGTTCTAGTGGCATCTAACTGTTAATATATTTTTGCTTTTATAATTGATATTTCATATATATGGTAATTTTGGAAATTATTAACACTCGGAAAGTATTTCCATTCCAGAATATAGTTCCATTGCATATCCCATTCTATACAATTTAAATACTGTTTTAAAGCATTTTTCAAGAATTTTAAAATAATTATTAAATATGGTGTGTATACTACAGTTATTTTCAACTGTGATCTTAAAAGCCTGAAAATATAGTAGGTATTTGATGTAATCATTCTTCATCCTTTCTTGTCAGGTTTCATCAGTTTCACCCTTTTCTGTGTACAGCTGATTTTAAAAAGATTGCTTCCATTTATGGTAGCGATAAGTTTGATTTGCCCTATGGGATAAGAACATCAGGTCAGTAGTATTATTCTTACCCTGCCCTGTTAAATTTGAGTGGTATTTGATGAGAACCACGTTTATATAATTTTAAAGCATTTTAATCTTTCTCCTTCCTAATTATTCCTAAGGGATATTAATTTTGAAATGAGATGAAAGGAATTATATTTTAAAGCATAAATATGCACTTTTTGAGGCAGTATGGAATCAAAGAATAAAAAAGGCACATACTTTTGTTGTCCTTGAGAAACCCTTTTACTTTATTCTGCCCAGTTGTGACTTACGTGAGTTCTGATGCCTTGCTATTCTAGTTTAGAATTAGTAGCTCATCCTGACAGTTAACTTCTTCCCTATCGCACCTTTCACCTCTTTACCTGTCTTATTTCATCATTAATCTTTAGCTCTTGATCAGTGTTTTAATTTAATCTGGATTTTTAGTTTTGTTTTATTTAGAAAGAATTAACCCTCTTCTAATGACAAAAACACTTTCTTCTGCTCACTGAGAACTAATTGGCCTTATATAGCTTTAAGTCCTGGGTTTTGGAGTGACCTTAAAAACCCAAGAGGTGACAGGACTACAGTGTTGTGATTTTTATTTTTTCAACTAATCCTGGTTTTTTTTGGTTTGTTTTTAGTTTGTATTATTAAAATATTTTGCAGAGGATTTGACCGTGTAATTTATTTAAACTTACTGTTGACTTCTATTTTAATGTCAATTTCAGAATTATCTGATATCACTAGTTTTTCTATTACTTTTTATGATTGGTTTCAGATTAAGCCCCTTATTTTTTTTCTGAGACTTTTGAGAGATATCTTTCGAGCATTTACCATTTTGAATGTGCTTATTTAGTGGTGTGGGCTCATTGTAGTTGCATCATTGACTTTTCACAGATTAAAACTAACTGGAAATGGATTTGTCAGGGAAGGAGCAAGATGAATCTAAGAAGCCATGATTACCGTTTATTCACAATCTTCTATTTGTTTTCTAGTGGAATATTTTCGACTTGCTCTTTCAAAACTTCAGAGTTGTGATCTCTTTGATGAGTTTGACAAGTGAGTTTATTTCTTTTCTTCTGACTTTTAGCTTTAGTTAATAAGGTGGTTCAAAATATGTGCCACAAGAGATGTAAAGTGTATTTACTTAGGAAAATTCCATAGCATTTTGTGCATAACTAAAACTTGTAGAATAGTTGTTTTTGTTCTTATTACACTTGAAATAAACTACAGAGTTAATTTAGAAACTGCATAACTGGTTAACTCAACATTCTCCAGAGTTTTACTGATGACCAGTACTGTTCTCAAGCCATTTTAAACACATGTTCATCTTTTCTAAGTTGTTTCACCAGAACTATTATATATACCCTCTGTTAATTAGCAGACACCTTCTGTCATGGGCTGTTTCCATATGTTCCCATGTGTTTTCCAAACTACTACTGAAGATCCTTTTTGTTTCATTTGTTAAAGGTTGATTATTAGATTTTTGAAGCAACTTTACCTTTTTTATTCAGAATTATATATTTTTTTTTAAATTTTATTTTATTGGTACATTTTAGGTATACAGTATAATGACATTCATCATTGGAAATCGGCACCTTTGTATAATCTCTCTTGGTTCTTATTTTTGCCCCTTCCCCTGCCCTCCCTTCAACCCCTCCATCCCTCCCTATTTACGAAAACTTTGTTTCCATTTTTTCATTTCTCATATTAATTCCATTCCCTTCTTTCCTTTCCCCTACCCCTCCCATTTCCCCTTCCCCTGTAAATGAGGACTAAAAGGTATAACAGATAATGTGAAATAAGAAGAAAACAGAATTATATATTTTTTAAAAAATCAAGCAGCTTGCTCAGATATAAATTTTATGACTACAAAAGCAACTTAATTCTTAGAAAAATTTACCAGGATGGCCCCATAGAAATTGGATTGCCAAAGACAGAATACTTTCAAGTAAGTTTTTTTTACAGAGTTGGATACAATCGCTTTTTGGCTAAGATCAAGTGCAGAGGTGGATACAAAGTTTTAAGCTACACTTTAAAATTTGACCAGTGGGCCAGTATGAGCATGTTGATGATCTATAAATGTGATCTACTGAAAAAAAGGAAGTGGTAGAATTTTGCCTCTTGCCCAAGAATATGTAGGTGCTGCTTAGTGGGCGCAGAAAGTAGGGGTAGTGGACAAAGAAAAAAAGGGGAGACTAGAGAAGTATTAGACTTTGTTTGGGTCTATCTAATTTTTTATCTGTAAGGCACTAAGATTAATGAAGGGTAGATTTTGTAATGTGGGTTGATTGATTTTAGTTTCTAATTTAAAACTATCCACCAAATCAGTTGCAATTTTGATTGTATATTATGAGCAACCTAATGTTCCAGCCTAATGTTTTACGTAGCTCTATTTTATAGAGGTTTATTTTATGTAAACCTTTGGCATATGTGCTTTAGATCAATTCTACTTTTGTAAATGGAAAAACTGAGGCTAGGGAAACATACACAGTTTGTTAGAGCTTGTAAATGCTAGGGCTAGGATGTGAACCTAGGTAGCTCCAACTCCAGTGAGTTATCAGTGAGAAGTGCTATTCATTAAATATTTGTAGCAAGTATCTACAAATAGTTTGTAAAGATCCCTGGTGCTATAAATGTGAGCTCCTATCAGCTTCTTCAGGGTATGTGACTTGAAGCTTCCTTCTTGCCTAGTTTTTATGTCAGAATTAGACTGTGCTTTATTTAGTAGCTTCTATAAACTTCCTCCTGTGGTGTTCAGCCACTTGTGTGTGCCTTGGCCAGACTGTTTCCTCCCTGCTTGCTGGCTGTGTGTAGCTGTTCCTTCCCCTTTGCCCCTTTGCCACTGAGAGTACCTCCACTTTACCCCATCCTGTGTCCATTTTTTCATCTCATATTTCATCCCTATGATGTATTCTTCCTCTATCTGGGCACTACCAGAAAGGCTCAGGCATTTTTGTTGTTGTTTTTCAAATCTGAATCCTTTAAGATTCTGCCAGACAGATGTAAGTTTCAGCTTTGTTCAGATATCTTGAACAGTATGCGTGATGCCCTCAGCTGGGATAGATTCTACTGTAAATGGGAAAACATGAGTTACCAGTTATATTTACAAGATGTAGGGTTTCCTCTTTCTCATAGTTTTCATATATACCTGAAGTCTGATGATAAACACTGAAGGGCTGGCTCAGCAGTTTTGTGGTCACCAGGGAACCAGGCTTCTCTCTGTTGAGACTGCCATTCTATCTTACGTGGCTTCCTCCTTATAGTCGGTGTGATAGCTGGAGTTTACTGCCAGCAGGGAGGAGCAAGGGGAGAAGGACATGTCCCAAACTTTGAGACTTTTCTTCCTCTTTAAGGTCATCTCCCAGAGCTCATATATGACACACAGCCAGTTGGTATCAACTATTTTTTTAGTTTATTTATTTATTTATTTATTTTGAGCCAGGGTCTTGCTATGTAGTCCAGGCTGATCTTGAGCTCACTATATAGACCAGGCTGGCCTTGAACTCATGGTAATCCTCCCCTCTCAGCCTCCTGTGTGCTGGGATTGCAGGTGTGCACATCCTCCCCCAGTTTGGTATCAATTTATGAGAGGTACACTTCTTCCCATTTCAGTATTCAATACCCTCAGGGAGGAAGCTTAAAATCAACCATGGGGAGAGTGTTTATACTATGGGATTTAGCAAACTCTACAAACCAGTGCTTCTCCCATTCCAACTTTCCCCAACAGAAATAGTTCTTAAACATGTTTAGCAACCACTGATAATAGATATCCCATTGGATAGGACTTAATCACAAGGTCATAGCTAGCTGGAAGTTGGGTAAGAAAATATTGTCTATTCCAGGTGACTATGTGTCCACCTTTAAAAACAATGTGTCCTACTTTAAAGGACAAAGGAAATATGATTGAGGGACAGCTAGCTATTTATATCAGTACTCTCCATTCATTTCTCTGGTCCCTATTTGTTTCTGTGTTACTAAGAGAATTCTGAAGTCAATTAAGTAACTGTTCTGTAACAACTAAAGTTGATGCATCCTTTTTATATACTGCTGCTGTTGATTTCTCAGTTTGGGTTCCTCTTTTCTTCAAAGCACAGCTGAGACAAGGCTACAGTGTTCATTAAAGATAGAGGATATTTTAGGGGAATTGAAATACAGAAAAAGAGTACTTGAAATATGTTCATATTCCAAGGTCATGAGCCTTCCTGGTTGTTCATGTACTCCCTAGCACCATCCAGCTCCCTGGTCCCAGGGATATTGCTCTTTCCTCAGTGAAAAGCATGAAACCAGAGCTCCCACTACCCCCAACTGCCAGCATTCCATTGTGAAAGTGTACCATATTTCTTAAAGAATGCTTCTGTCTGCTGCATAAATGGTTATACAGTAACCACACATAAATATCTTGCCTAAAGGAAACACCTGTGTCAAGTCAGTTGCAGATTCCATTACATCAGCATCAGTGGAACTGGGTTAGATTGGTTACCAGCCAATCGAGGAGCATGCCCTTAGAAAACTTTTAAAACAATTAGACATTAATAGTCTATTAAAAACAGTCCTAACTTTATAAGGAATATCAATGCCTGCATTCCTACTCTTATCACCCTGCTGTTTTTCAAGATTTTTACATTGCAGAGGAAATTGAGGGTAAGAGGAAGCTGTGAGGACATAACTGAGTCATATGTGACAAAGGCCCAGGTACAGCACTACCTGTTTCCTACAATCTGTTGTGGTCACATGTTAGCTGAAGTTATAGAAATTGTGCTACAAATGTCATAGCAAATGGACATATCCAATGGAATAACAATATTCAGGACACTGATTTCTAACTTCATGGAAAGGGAAAAACTTAGATCAGAGAGGTCAGATTACTGGACCATGTTGCCAGAAGTAGGAGAACCAAAACAAGTAGCCAGATCTCTACCCATGACCTCTTGTACAGTAATTTAATTGCTGCAAGTAATAGTTTCCTGAGTAAAAGTTATTTATTACTGCCTAAATTGCATAAGTATGTGGTTTCAGCTCTGCATATTTGTGGTACCAGCTTGCAGAGTCCCCTGCTTGTTCTAACTGTGGATTGCCCAATCCAAGGGAGTGCCAGTTCTCACACAGTTATCTCAGTGATGCTTTCTATATTTGGACTGTGTACAACCTGCACATCTGTATGGTTGTGTGATTGAATTAGTGGCTCCCTGATGTTAGGGCTCCAAGGTAGTTTTTCTTTATCTCTCTTTTACTCTGAGTTGCAAGATGGCTGCAGCTGCTCTAACTTTATCTTCACACATTAAGCAGAAAGAAAAAATGTGGGTAGAAAGTGTTCTACTCCCACCATTCTTTTACCCGGGACAGAATCTCTTTAAAAACACCTAACAGACTTTCTTATTATTTTCTTTCCCGGAATGAGTCACATGACTATCTCTAGACCAATCATTGGCTGAGGAAATGAGATTACCATTGTAGGCTTACAAAAAGCAGGGCTCTACTACAAAGCATGTGGGGTAATAGGTATCGGGAATATGACCAGTAGAATCTGTGATAGATTGTTATACTGAAGATGGAAGGATGTGTTTTAATATATATGATGCTGCCGAAGGGAAAAATGAATGTCTAAAGCAGTCAGAAAAGAAGACACATCATAGATCATTTGAAATGGACAACTCAGACTTGCTTTCTCTGTATTGATGATGTTGTTTCCCTTCACATAGGATAGTAATTTGTCTGGTTTTGCCTGACTTAATGAAAAACATGGCTTTCGGGGCTGGGGATTTAGATCAGTAGTTCCGCTGCCTGCCTTGCAAGCTCAAGGACCTGGGTTCGATCCCCGTTACCACAAAAAAAAAAAAAAAAAAAACCAAAAAAAACCCATGCCTTTCACTGAGGGAAGAATAATATTTTGTCACTATTATTTCAGTGGCTTTTCAGATTTTCCATTAGCAGGTGTTCAGGCATTCTGGAATTATTTTGTTTTCTGAGTGAGAAGCTTGGGGCTTGTGCATTTCTTTGTTTATTTCCAAGTTGGAGTACATTACCTGCTTTTCCAGATACAAATTAGGAAAATGATT